TTGTTAAAAAAAAAGTGATGGTTTTCTGTATATCTACATGCAACAAAATTGATCCAGCATAGCTTCAGAACTTGGCCTGATCCACAGTTAATCCAGTGTCAAAGCCCAAAGTTTTCTCATGTCTTAGCAGCTGACACTCAAATCTTCCAGATCATCTGACCCACTGTCTAGACAGGAGACAGCCCGACAGCTGAGAATAACTCAATTCCCTCTCTCCTAACACATCATCCATCCATCCTTCTGTCTCAAGTGTGGATGCAGGGGGGATAAAAGAGTGCACCGCCAACTTCATTAAACTGGTGGATTGATGGTTTTTAGAAAGAAAATTTGATCTCTAGTGACTATTGTTTCCAACAAAGGGAGGAGATGAGGTGGTATTGGCAGGAAAATGGGCTTTCAACTGCATAATGCAAAAGAACACGGACAAATCCTCTCAGGCATCACATAAGATGAAAACACAGTGACTGAGAGAAAGATAGGAAAGAAGGAGGAGCGGGAGGAAGACAAGGCTAAATAACAGGTGTTCGCCAAGAAAACATCTTTGTCGTGAGGAAATGAGCAGCGAGGGGAACTGAGAGAGGCAGCAAGAGAGGGTTGGAGAGGAAAGAGACTGTTTGAGGATGGCTATCACCAAGTCCAACAGAGAAAGGAGCAGATTAAACAAAGAGAACAGAGAGAAGGTGAGCAACGGACTGAAGCAAAGTAGAAAATAGGCAGCCTGAATGCAATGACAGAGACAGGAAGACATAGGGAGAAGAGGAAAGCCAACACCAAGTTGCCAACTCTCTCACAGCTATCAAGGGGTGTAATGTTGAACACACTGTTATGATGCATGAGCTCAGTGGCAGTAAGCGGTTCTAAAAACCAATGGCTGTGTAATGCTCGTTAATGTGGCCATTATGGTGTCGACAACGGTGCTTTGCACTGCAAGAGTGTTATTTAGAGCTAATGGGCACGGCCTCTGAGTGCTATTATGAAGTTAGAGTTCCCTGCAGCTTATCTCATGCTATACTGGGAGGGCGGGGTAGCCATGACACATAAGCACCTGCCTGTCAAATCAGAAAATTAACAGAGTCGGTACAAGGCCTGTGATGTCATGGATAGTTCAGATGTTGGACAGCACTCACAGACAGTTCTCAACAGGTCAATGATAAAAAGATTACACAGGTTATTAGTGTGTGTGCAGTAGTTCATTCTGAGATCATCACCGCTGGGACCATATTTTTTCCAAGCCCTACTAATGGTACATGCACCCTATAACTATGTTGCCTTCGAGGTCCGCTACCTTGCAGATGGCCTACAAAAGTCTGTTTTCTGAAAATATAACATCTGATTTCAACTCTTGACGGACTCATTTTGTGTTTTGTGCTCTAGCCAGTAGCATTTCCACCACCTTGTTTCCTCTGATTTTGCAGGTAATTACAGGGCTAAGGATTTCATAATGACTTGTAGTACACTTAACATGTTGTATCTAGTTATATATTGTAATCAAATAAGAAGTTGACAATAAGTCTAACACATAACCTCCCATAAAACCAAAGCATAACATGTTAATTAATGAGATTTAGAGGTGCTGATATGTAAATTTTATTACCTTTGCTCAAAGCCAGGCTAGCTGTTTCCAGTCTTTATGCTACGCTAACTCACCCTCTGATGGCTGTAGTTTAATAGTTACAGTACAGTCATCAGAGTGGTATCGATCTTCTACTCTAACTGTCAGAAAGAAAGCAGATAAGCATGATTCTCAAAATGTTGAACTACTGTATCCATTTACTGCCTCATCTTATCAACACTACTGAAGGGCAGAAAATTAGCTCAGTTGCTTTTAAAATGATCGAGCTAATTTAATGTTGATGGCTTTATTTTTTGTCTGCACTAACCTCCCTGTTTTTCACCAGAATGTTCAACAGGTAAGTGTGAAAATTAATCACTGGCAAGTTCTTGAAATAGAAAGAGGGCACATTTTCTCCAGCAAAAATGTGTAAAACACATGGAGTATCTCTCAGGCTACCTACTTTAATTGCATCAGTCTCATTAAGAGTCTACATTTATATTCACAAAAGGTGCATATGCTAATTCAAAAGGTTTACAGCTCAGGCTTACATTTCATCACAGTTACCAGCTCATTACAATGGAATCTGCACTCAAAATGGCTCCCTTTAAAGTTCTCTCTCAAACTTTCAGCCTGGGCTAAGCTGAGGGCAAACGTCTAGACAGTGCTTTGCTTAAGGTGCAAGTGATTAGGCAACACAAGGGACTGAGGCTATGTAATTCCCCAGGTTCTTGCCTATAGGGACATGCAGAGGATGTTAGAGAGGCAGGGACCCAAATTCGTAAAAGGCGACTTTTTCAAATAATTGAATAAGTATACGGCTGGAATGACTACTTTTGGGACACTGTTCATATTAAAATTAATGTATTATAATGTATACAAACTCCTGACTGAGGTTGGTTCAAAAATTGCTACATGACAGTTAATTAATGATACATGCAAAGAGATTAAGTATATTTCAGCAAATTATCCTCACATGTTAACCAGCCCAACTCTTACCTAGCCCGCAGACTGACATTTTCAGTGGCAGAAGCTCAGTTTAATACTGCTGACAAAGATGCACTTCCTCTGGTTGCATGGCCACCTCTCTCACCTCCATATTTGTCTTGTCACCTCTCCATAAGGCGTAATTGCTTCAGTAATAACAGGCAATCAGAAGATGCTGATATCGTATGGGTAAGATACTACCACTATGTGCCAACAATTTAGTTCAACATATCATATAATACTGAGGCTTGGAAGGCATCATGACCATAATTCTAAAAAGCAACACAGCATTCCAGGTAAGGCATTTTAGACATTGGTGTACTTATTTTTTGATTTAAGATGAAGATTTTAACAGTTAACATTCCTTCATTTGTTACAAGGCATTTTTTTATTTATTTAAAAAAATGCACTTTCTCTCTAGTAGTCCAAACGGCAAGTGCTCAAGCACCCTCTGCACGTGCCACTTGTCTAGTCTCTGGGGTTCTCTAAATCAGGTCTGTGGAGGTTTCGCGCTATAAGGCTGCCTACAGCTCTGTCTCTCCACCTACTGATAACAACACGTCAATCTAACACACATCTGACAAATGTCACTCATCGTTATTATGCCTGTTGTGGTTACAGCTTTTCATTTTGTGTGTGTGAGCGAGATATGTCAGCCGTAGGTATGTGCACTCAGCCAACACAGCTTCTGTTCATATCTTCCTGCAGTGATGCCTGAACTGTCATTGTAATGTTTGTGACATCAAGTGGACAAAGTTGAAATTGCAAGTCCCTTCATCCAAGTTGATTCTGTGACTTTGCATGAACATATAACTGACATATTGTTCAGACTGCTCTGACCAAAAATAAGCCTATATGCTTTGTGTATGCAATGCCTTGTTAATGGCCAATCAACACTCTGAGAATGCGTGTCGTGCCCTACCACCGCAGGCATTTTACAAGTGCTAATGGGCAAACAACAGCTCCCCATGCCAAAAACTTTCTACTCAGCATTTCTTTAGGTGGAAGAAAATTATATAAATTAACACCCAGATACACACTCTCCTGGGAAGACAAAAAACAGGTGCAAATCAATACAGTGTGTCTCACACTATATTTATGACCATATTTCAACTGTGAATATACATCATTTCTTTTTATAACACAATAAGGCAAAAAAGGGACATCAAATCAGCCAACTTACTCTATCATCCAACAAAAAACATGGAAAATGAATTCCATGTGATGAAACTGAATACAGTACGTCACCAATTATGCAAGTTCAAAGGCTCTTCCTTCACCTCTAACCCTTTCATCTCAAGTCATTCAAGTCACATGATAAAGAATAATAGATTAGCCTTTGATATATATAAAAAACCTAATTCAATACCTCATTGTATCATTCAAATGTAGCTTGTTTGATGTAAGGCAGGGAATACTAATACAATATGTGCACTCAGACGTGTGTCTGTTAG